GGAATCTGGCACTTGCGGGTGGGGGGTGTTTTTGTTATTTTATAAAAATTTTATATATTGGGGTATTTAGTGAAATTTGTAAACTTAGGGGGTTTTTCGAAATTTTCAAATTTATAAAAAACTAAAATTCAAACTTTTAAGGGCATTTTAGTCTTTTCACTATTAATAAACAGTAATAAACAGAAATCACTAACAGAACATGACGAAAAGTACCTATTTGTCATTTCAAAACCTTTTGAGTACCAACTTATCGTTACGATAAATCTTGGGTATGTGTAAGTCGTTCTCCCAATTATGTTACGATGAAGGTTAAAGTCTTGTCTTGTGGCTCTCTACCTCTTGGCCTATATAGCAGATCCATCCAGATTCATAAGTAATGCAAACTCCCTGATCTCTGTGGCTGACATTTTCAAAAGTAAAACAGGGATAGGAGTTAATGGTCCTTTCATCCCTGAGGTTTGGAGAAAGTATTAAGTTCATCCAGTAAAATCAAAAAATGTCAGAATAGTCCCTGTCAGACAACTAACGTCGTGGCCGCGCTGTAAAGCCTTTTCGCAGCAGCACCACCACACCTCTCTGCCCTCAGAGGTATTCGCTATTGTAAGTGTTGATTTCATTATTTTATAAGTTGGGTTTTTTGATATTGGACATTGGCTTGAGGCGTTAGTGGTGGCGATACCTTGTTTTGCTTTTGTTGGTGGCATTCCGGTGGCTGTTAATTTTAGTGATGGTGAGTTAGTGGCGAGGCTTTGGTGGGTGGGGCGGGGAGCTTGCAGAGATTTTGGGTGGAGCTGGAATACCTTGGTTGCTGCTTTCGGTGTGGCCTTGGTCGTTGCGGTAGGATAACTGGTAGACATAATCACATAAGACCATCTTCAATCTATTACACCAAATTTTTGCAAGTTTCACAACATATTACACCAAATTGTTGCAAGTTTCACAACAAATTGGTGCGATTTTTGTAGTAAAATACTATCACATCTCCAACTCACTGAACTAAATATTATATCAAAAAAAATATTTTTTAAAATATTTTTTTTTCTTTTATTGTAATTATTTTTTTATATATTAATTAAATATTAAGAATTATATTTTTATTAAATAATTATTATTTTAAAAATTATACTAATTTAATTAAGAATTTAATTTAATCAAATATTAGTTGAATTATTTGGAAGTTGATTTGGTATGAGTTTTTATAGTTAAAGAAAATACTACTCTAGATAAAAATAATAATTCAAAAAATATATTGTCCATTTAAGCTTTTAAGATTTGTGGCTTATTAAAAAAGATGTATTGTCCATTCAAGCTTTTAAGATTTGTGATTTATTCAAAAAGATGTATTGTCCATTAAAGCTTTTTAGATTTGTAGTTTATGTGAAAAGATGTATTGTTTATTCAAGCTCAAAAAAATGTGTTGTTCATTCAAGCTTTTAATTTAAACTTATGTTATAAAAGAGCATACAACACATTAGTTTTGAACACATCCCTTCTATTTCCTTTTTGAAAAAAAAAAAGCATATATCATCTTCATTTGTGTTACAAAATGACTACACAATAAAGTTCTTCGTACACAAATGAAAAAGACATGCATCTATGTCATATTTATCTTGATATTTCTCAAAACCCGATTTTAGGTATAAACCAATCTAGTGGTCAATTGTGTTACAAAATTTAAATAACAATATATATATATATATATATATATATATATTTTTACTGTTTAAACACTGTCTAGCCAAATTAGTGTGCATGAACAGTACTACACCAAATTTAGCGTGGCACTGTAGCAGGGCACCAAATTGGTGCAACAAATGGCGTTGGGTTGGAGTTGAAATCTGCGTTATTTTGGTGCCCTAAGGGCATCTCCAACCCATGCCAAAATGATGTAAAAAACACCAAATTGGCGTGTTGCTATAGTATCGCGCCAAATTTGGCGTGGCACTGTAGCACCACGCCAAAATGGCGTGGCACGGTAGCGCGAATAAAATATATATATATTTCTTTTAATTTTGCTTTTTTTTGTTTTTAATTTTGTTAAGTTAATTTGAGTATTAAATTTTACACCAAAAATCACACCAAATTTGAGTATTTGTATTTAATTTAATTTGATTATTATTTATAATAATAAATTCATAATAATGATATAATTTAAAAAATGATGAAAAATTAAAAATAGAACTTTATTCAATGCAAATATTAAACTACAATAACTCCAAATAAAAATTAACACTAATTTAAAAANAAAAAATGATGAAAAATTAAAAATAGAACTTTATTCAATGCAAATATTAAACTACAATAACTCAAAATAAAAATTAACACTAATTTAAAAACACTAAAATTAAAAGAAAATACAACATAAACTAAAATAACAATTTAGTATTCCGGTAGATTAGTTCCGGATCCAGTAAGATCATCAAAATATTGAAAAAAACTTGAATAGACAACACTTTTTTTTTTTTTTTTTGTATCATTTTATATTAGATGTAATGTTTTTCTATATTAAATGTAATGTTTATTTGATTAAATAAATACTTAATTTTATTAAATTAGTATAATTTTTAAAATAATTATTATTTAATAAAAATATCATTCCTAATATTTAATTAATATATACAAAAATAATGAGTGAAATAGATTAAAGGAGATGGTCTAAGGATGAGGTGGTGGTTGCTCGTTATTTTTTTTAATTTATAAGACTTATTTATTGTTAAAAGACAAAAAGACCCTTACGCTGTTTAATAATAGGTAACGTCAATTGTGTGACAGGGACTATTGTGACATTTTCTGATTTCACGGGATGAATTCAAAATTTTCTCCAAACCTCAAAGGACGAAAATGTCATTAACTGTGAAGAGGCTTTTGATCTTGTGACCAGAGAGGCCACTGTCTAGCTTGTAGCAGTTTTAGTCATTTGTCAATTCCTCAGTGTACTAACTACTAAATGATCATTTTAATCCATTGAGTTAAGTAAAAGAGAACTCACCTGCATTATTATTTTGATGAGTAAACAGCTTTTTCCCATCAAGGTTTGTCTTAACGACACTATTTCACCCAAAAAATTTAAAATACCATTTTTTCATCCAAAATTTATATTCTGTTAATACTTAAAATGCACTTCAGGTAATTTGTTTTGTTATTTTGGATAAGATTTTAAGAATAATATTAGATAGTTGAATAGGGTGAGTATTACAAGGTAAAATTTAAAAATTCATAAAAAAAACCCCTTAGTTTTGCTAATTTAACTGAACACCCCAATATATAAAATGACAAAAACACTCCCATCCACCCACAGTGCTAGACTCCGGCCAGAAAATGGCGTTACGACGCAGACCGGTCAGATTTGACCGGTCGTGCATCGATATGGCCTTTTCTGGCTAGATCCACCATTGATCTGGCTGGAAAATGCCAGATCTACGGTGAGATCTGGCATTCGACGGCTGCAAAAGGCTAGATTGACGGTCAGATCGGCGAATTACAGGCCGTTTCTGATCGTTTCTACGCCATTGTGAAAGATTCTGACAACCACCGATAGTGGTTGTCGGAATTTGGCAACTATGGGTAGGTGGGGGTGTTTTTACTAATTTTTAAACTTTTTTTTTTTCTACGAGGTGTTTAATTAAATCAAAAAACTTAAGGGGTTTAAAAGTAATTAAAAACATAGAATAATATTTCTCAAATAATAAAATAAACAAGTATTTTGGGAATAGGATTGAGAATATGGATAGGAACAACAAAACAAATGGAGCCTTCACTTTCTCAACTGGTGTTCGATGAATTACTAGGAGCGAAGGTAAGAAATGTTTTGTAGAGAAAAGACTAAAAATTCAAATAGTAATGATGAAGAGAATTTTTATCGTCAGAATCGGTTTTGGGTATCAACGAAAATATAAACTTTGGTTAAGAAAATAATATTTTTAAGCTTTTTGGGTGAGAAATTGTCATTAAGGCAAACCTTGAGTGGGAAAAAGTCGTTTACTCTTATTTTGATTAACCATTTTCTTCAGTACCTCCATTCCACCATAACCTTGATTGACTGTTTAATAATAACCCTACTTGCTTTCAGCCACCCCCTGAATCAACAAGAATCCTATTCTCTGGCTAAGGTTTGTGGTGTCTTTCAATGAAAAGATTAGGCCACCTTTCAAGTGATCAAGTGATGATGACAGTAAAAACTATAATTATGAGTATTAATTAAGCCAATCCCCTGCTAAATCTCACATTAAAATAGGTCTCTTCTTTACTTCCCTTGGAAAAACCACCAGGGTTCAAATCCATTTCAAGTAGCTTTGTTTTCCTTGCATATATCAGTTAAGCGCGTGGTGATTTTGAGTCCATATGATTTAGAAGAGTTTGAGAAATCAGTAAGGCAGTGATTTCACCACCATGAAGAGCGTGTAGAAAGTTTTACTGTACATGGGGTTGATAAACAAACAAAGCTAGGCACAGCTTTGGTCTATCCTCTTTCATATCAGTCACTGGCTCACCAAGCTAAAATCTCTGCTAAACCTTACAAAATCTCTCCATATTTGGCAATGAAGTAAATGGGTGCCCTGAGTTTAGGCCAGAGATGCGAAAATGAGAGAAAAGTAATTCATTTGAATGTTGAAATCTTATTCCATGTGTTGTTTTTGGTTTCAAAGACTAATGTCTGATTTGAGAGTATTATTAGTCTCATTTTCTGACCAAGACAGTTTGTTTTATGCAAAAACTTTGTCAATTAAACACCTTAATCCAAAACCAACCCCAATTTTTAGACAGACCCTAGTCTCTACTACTTTATCAGTTATATATATGAATTATGAGGTGATTGTGTCAAAAAGACTACAACTTTTTCATGAGCAGTACCTTTGGCTTTGTCTTTTCTGCCAGTGTACCACAGCTTCATTTCCTCTATTTCTCTTCTTCTTCAAAACCCTTGTTTCAAAACTACAATTTCTGCCATAAAAAGTCTTATTTTTTTTTATGGGTTGTAATGTTGTATGCCTTCTTATAAGATGAAAAACAACAATGTCGTTTCACAGTTCAAACATAGAAAGAACTTGCTGAAACTGACCCTCGAAACGAGGGATGCATTGGCAAATGCACAGTGCAGGTACAATCTGTGTATACTTGCGGTTGCTAAATCCTTAAGGTTGATTACCTCTAGAAATTCATCTCCTTCCTGTGACCTCACAAGTTATCCTTTCCTTGAGTCCCATGAAACAACTGATAATCATAATATAAAAACAATGTCCCGTAAGCAAACACGAATTGAAAGCAACCTTGAAGCCTCTACTTCTTCTTCTTCTTCTCAACCTTCTAAACCTAAACGTTCTTCGTTCTCTTTTAGAAAGGACAAACGAAAACAAGCCTCTTCTTATTCTTCTCAACCTTCTAAACCTACATGTCCTTCGTCCTCTTCTAGAAAGGACAAAGGAAAAAAAAAATTACACCGAGAGAATGACCTGAAATTTGAAACCATACTTGAAGAAAATGGAGAAGGCGAGGATGCTGATGATGATGAGATGGCACAGGCACAAGCTAAGCCTCCGCCAGAGCCACCACTTGAAAGAGATGATGTGCCTGGATGGGATTTTTTTCGTCCCTATGATGGGTTGAAAGCTGAGAGGGAGAGTGATGTTTCTCAAAGCAATGATGAGGATCATCTTAGGATGGTGAGAACAGAAGAGAGGATTCCTGAGCTAGAAAAGGTTGAAGAGAGTGACAGAAAAGAAGCTAATAGTAATGAAAGTGAAAGGGAGACCAGCAACTTCAAAACTGAAACTGATGGCAAAGTAGATGCTGATGCTAATGATGGGGAGATCGAGAACGAAAACAGCCTTATGATAGTGAATGGAGGAGGCACCTCCCAGAAAGACTTATTGGAAGCCCTCAAGGAAATTGAGGAACATTTCCTTAGGGCTTTTGAGTCTGGTTTGGAAGTTTCAAAGATGTTGGAGGTGAAGAAGTTTCACTTGCAGAAGGGCTGGGAACGCGTTATCGGTGAGAAGTTCTTTTCTTTCAGCTTTTTATTTTTATTCTCCTCTTCATTTCATATTTTGGGTCCTGCATGTGTTGTTTGCTTATCCGCAATTCAGGTCTATTTCTTTCGCTTAATTAGAAACAAAAGTCAGCCGCTTTTGTCTCCTGGGATACAATAATATTAAAATGGGCCCATTTCCTTGGAAAGATTATGTTTTTCTGTGCATTTGCAACATGTTAAACCATAAAACGATCAATTTGGCCCCGATCCACACAAGATAAAAGTTTTAATGTCTCAAAGATGTCTCATTTCTTGAGAAATATCGTTTTATGAAACCCTATTGACTCTACATTGATATACAACTGTTTAACTGCAGCAAAGCCCTCTGCAAATAGTTCATGAATTAATGGGCAGTAAAGTTTACTGTTCACGAATGGAGACCTTTCGCTGTAAAGTTTACTTCTTTTTGAACGAAGTCTTGCAACTTTTTTCTCCTTGTTTCCTGATATGTCGTTGCTCTTCCCTGCCAGTTAACTTAATGTATCCATGTGGGTGCTGCAGGTGGCTCCAGTAACTTCTTCACTTCCATGAGAAGAGGCCGTTCGATTTCGAGTCGCTCTTCTTCATGTTTGAGCATCCTTTCTCCCTCGCGTACAAGAACTTCTGCTTCGTGGGACGAGTTCAGGAGGGAGCCATTTCTTGACGATTATGTTCCAATGCAATCGGGCAGTCATGCTTTCACCTTGTCAAAGTTGTATGCTTGGGAGAAGATACTTTACCAAGATGTTTCGGTAAAATATAATTCCTTCTTATCTTATCTTATCTTATCTTATATTATATTATATTATGTTATGTTATATGATCTTTGCTTTGCCAACTTCATGCAATTTATTACCAATTTTCGTGCTCAGATTGGTGAGAAATGCAGGAAGCGTTTTGACAGGAAATGCTTCAAACTGAGAAACGAGGAAGTTGGAGAAGGACTTTTCAGTGGCGACAGAACAAGAAGTAAAGTGAGAGAATTGCATGCCTCAATATATGTTTCAGTGAGGGGTGCAACTTCAACTTCTGACAAAATTATCAAGGTGAAAGACGAGGAGTTGCACCCTCAAATTGTTGAGCTTCTACAAGGGTAAGAAATTAAATGAATAATAATAAAGTAGATGACAAAACTTTGCTCTAACTTTAAATTTTATAGATGATAAATCTAACGTGTGCATGCAGGTTGAAGAACAACTGCAAGGTTATGTGTGAACTTCACGAAGCTCAAAGCAAAGTGATGTTTGAAGTGGGATCATTCAATTGCCCCAGTTATGGAGGGTTCAGCTACAAATCTAACTGTCATGCCACCCATCTGCTGGAAAAAAGAGTTGAATGTTGGCGTGCATGTTTTTCTGTGTATACTTCTGCTCAGAAGGCTTACCTCGATGCTCTTTCTAAATGGATATCGAAATGCTTTGACATCAAACCAGGGAATCAGGGGACCAATGACCCACCATTGCTAGTAATGGTAAAAGATTGGAAGACTAACTTGGATATGTTGCCACACAAGGAGGTCACAGAGTGCATGAAAAGCTTTGCAAATGATATCAGGAAAGTTTATGTTCAACAAGGCAAGGAGCAAGACCAGATGAGGAAGGTTGTTAGAATGACAGCAAAATTGGATAAGAAGGCTGTAGAACTAAAGAAGCTTGAGGACAAGGTTCTTGGGTCAGAGATCAGTTCTACTAAGGAAGCTGTGCAGTTTAAATTTGACGATGGGTATGAGCGCTTGACAGAAAAGAGAAATTCATTGGCAACGTACAAGAACAGGCTTGAGAAACATAAAGCAAAGCACATATCCGGTGTCCAAAAGACTCAGATGCTCACTTTGCAGCGAATGCAGACAGGTTTCTCGAATGTTTTTGAGTCTTTGGTTAACTTTTCAAAGGCTTCTGCTCAAATGTATGCTGATCTTGCTGCATACAATGGGAATGCCAAAGTAACTGGTGGAACAATGGCAACCCAGCTCAAGTAGAAGAACCAAAGGGGGAGGCTCAGGCTTAAAAGAAATTGAAAAACAGGCGCAATATTAAACTCAAACTGGGCTTTTTCTGGACTTAGTTTAGGTTTCCAGTGTTAAAAGACTTGTCTTTTTAAATGTTCTTAAGCGTTTTAGGTTTCATGAAGTTAAGATTTCAGCTATGATCTTTATTTTGTGGAAACTAATTCTGCTATATATGAATTAAGGAGACATTAAGGAACAAAATATTTCATAAGAGAATGCATGCAAGTTCAAACAAAATATTTATAATCATGTGGTGGTCAAGTTTTAACATCTTCTTCTCTGATTCCTCTCAAATTGTTCTTGTCAACATCAATGCTAATACTATCCATCTCAAAACGCCTCAAGCTTGTGCTTTGAAATGACTGGCTATCCATCTCTATGCGAAACCTTTGAAATCCCACACCATCTATGCTCACAAAGCTTTGAGAATGATCATTGTCAATTGATCTTCGAGACCGCCCTATCGATGATCTTCGAGATTCATTCGAAGTCGAAGTAGACCGCCGTTTGTGGTTGAAGTTTTCACCAGAATGAAGAGCCTCCTCCAATTCTTGCCATACTTGAGTCATTGTAGGACGATCTTTGGGCATTTTCACCACACATCTTAGACCAAGTTCTCCCATTTTTTGCATGATCTCCTTGTTGCATGGCGCAGTTAGAAGATTTGCATCTAAAATCTCTTCTATATTGCCCCTCTCTATGCTAGGCCTTGCCTTCAATTTCATGATAACAATTAAAAAATTGTTATTGAACCATCAAATAGATTCTTAAATCAATAAAATGTCACTAAACTATTTAAGCATGCTTACCCATTCAATGATGTGATAATTAGGTTGAGTTCTGGTTGTGTCAACTGCAGGCCTGGCAGCAATGAGCTGTAGAAGAATAACGCCAAAACTATAAACGTCACTGAAAGGACTCAAATGAAAACTTGAACAATATGCAGGGTCAAGATATCCTGGCGTCCCTTTGATTTGGCTACTGACATGAGATTGATCATCAATTGGTCCCATTTTCACAAGACCAAAATCAGAAACCTTCGCTTCAAATCCCTCTCCTAGTAAAATATTACTTGGTTTTATGTCACGGTGGATTATGCTTGGCTTTATCCCTTCATGCAAATGAGCAATCCCTGTCATCATTTAGGAGCATTTAGTTGACTTACCTCCATTAGAACTAAGTATTTCTCTGGGTTAATTATGTGAAAACACTTGCCTTTAGCTGCTCCAATTGCAATGTTTACTCTTTGCCTCCAGGTTAAGCTTCTGCCTCCTCTCCCTACACTCCACAATTTCAGTGTGTTAAAAAGTTTATTTTTTTTTTTTTTTTTTTTTTTTTTTCTTTTTATTTTTTTTTTTTTTTTATTTATTTTTTTTTTTCTTTAATTTTTTTTTTTTGTTAATTTCTCTTGTGGCTATCCTTATACTAAGACCTCTTGAATGATATACTGTATCAAAAAGTTATGTCTTTCTTTTGATAAGATGTCAGCTGTGTTGAAGCCTTTTTATGTTTTGTTTGTAATTAAACAGAAAAAGATTAGAATTCATTACCCATGATGTAGTCAAGCAGAGAGCCATTTGGTACGTATTCATAAACCAATACTTTTGCTCCTTTCTGTCCTGTTACACAGCAAAAAATTTGACCATTTTGTCAAAGACTACTTTATGCACAAAGCTGTAAAGGCTCTGCATCTGTGTGAACCCACTGAATTATAAAATGGTTATTGGCTTACCAGTTTCTTCACAAAATCCCACCAAACCAACGAGGTTCCTGTGCCTTACTTTTGAAAGCAGTCTCACTTCTGTTTTTCAAGAAACCACTAAACAACATAAATAAATTTTAACCTTTCCTTTTTAATTAGTAGTAGAAACAAGCATGAAATAATTAATTACCATTTCTGAATTCTTCAACACTTTGGTATGAACCAGCATGAGCTCTTTTGATTGCTAGAATTCCTTCAGCATCAAATGTCCCTTTGTACACATTTCCAAATGCCCCTGAACCCACTAAACATTCTTCACTAAAATTCTTAGTTGCCCTCTGTAGNATTTTCTTTATACGCAAAAATCATTAGCATAATTAGAAAAATGACATGCTAGTACATCATTGTCTCCATATAAATTTACAATAACCTTATAAAATACGCATAAAGATGTACATAATATCCAAAATTAAAATGGCAGACAGAAACAGAAACAGAAACAGAAGCAGATCAAAGATCAAAACAAACTATCATTTCATTAACACAACCAAATAATGTTGAATAAAACAAGAAGGGCATAAAGAAAAGGCAACCAACCAACCTAATGCAAAGAAGAAAGTGAAGATCGCCGAGAAGATGTTCCCAAGAATGGCGGAAACGGCGAAAGTGCAGAAATCTTTGACTCTTTCAAAGAAATTCCCAAACAAAGACAAAGATGACATAGAGAAACGAGATGGGTATGCATAAAACTCCATTGATTTAGGTTCCTTAATCCAAAGCTTTTTCCTACGCAATAAAAGCAAAGGTGGGTGTTGGTGATATACAAAAAAATTGAAAGGCTTAATTGGGTTCTTAATTCTTATATATTGAGAAGGTGAGATAGATGGCTTTTGTATTCTTAGTCCCTAAGAGAAAATGAAAAAGAACTGTATCAACTAACTCGCATTTAAAGCTTCCATTTTCTTTTCAGTATAATTCTTTCTTTTTTGGATGAAAGAAAAAGAAAAAGAAAAATCAAAGCTTGATTAATATTACTCGGAAAATACAATTAGACAGAAGAAGATTAAGAGAAGCTTCGTCTGACGATTCTATACGTGTTGTTCAGCGGATATTTATATATGGTCGAATGTGGTATACAGTAGAATAAAGATCTCAACAAGGGTTCCAAAATTCAGCAAACAAAAATAAATAAATAAATAAATAATTTAGGAAGTGATTTGATTTTTGATGGTGATTGGTTAGATGTTGAACAGGTGGTCAAGGTTCGAAGATTTTTTTTTTTTTTTTAAATAAAATTTAATTATTAAAAAATAGTTTTCGTGAAAATATCTAAAGGAGGAGGTGGTTTGAGATACTGGGGGCGCTTTTTTTATTTTGTTATTCCCCTTGGACCCCCTCCTCTTTAAGTCTCAGTTATTGTTGGCCCCTGTCTATCTCTATATTTTTATTTATTGCTANTGTTGGCTTACCAGTTTCTTCACAAAATCCCACCAAACCAACGAGGTTCCTGTGCCTTACTTTTGAAAGCAGTCTCACTTCTGTTTTTCAAGAAACCACTAAACAACATAAATAAATTTTAACCTTTCCTTTTTAAGTTTTAGCACTTTTTTAAAGGATAATTAGTAGTAGAAAGAAGCATGTAATAATTAATTACCATTTCTGAATTCTTCAACACTTTGGTATGAACCAGCATGAGCTCTTTTGATTGCTAGAATTCCTTCAGCATCAAATGTCCCTTTGTACACATTTCCAAATGCCCCTGAACCCACTAAACATTCTTCACTAAAATTCTTAGTTGCCCTCTGTAGCTCCTCTAGCTGGAAGCACCTTAACATTAAACTTTCAGCTCTGAGTCCTCCTGAACGATTAAAGATCACCATGTACAATACAATTAATCAGTAAGAGGATATGAGCTATAAATTAATGGTGATTAAAAAGCTTAATTAACTCACCTCTTTGAGTCCATTTTCGCCTTATAAGTGGCAAGAGCTTTCTCCAGAAAAAGAAGAACAACGAGACGCCCAACAAGACTGCAAAAACAGCGATAATAACTCCTCCCAAAATGTATTTATGATGAGAACTATCAGATTGCGGAGCTTCCTCTGGAGAATTGGCTAATGCTTGCGAACTGTCTGCCAGAAATCTCTTCGCCATTGTTATCTGAACATTCAAATTCATCACAACAAAAACCAGATAGAATTTTACTTCGCATTCATCTCTGGCAGTCTCTTCTCATTCTTTACAATTCCCAGTTTCACGTTCTCTTTGCATGAAAAACTGAATTTGCTTCATTGAACAGAAGAGAAATACATACAACATCAACTATGATAAATAAATTTTGCCGGCAGAACATGAATCCTTTCAACTTAATTTATATATTCGATTAATTAAGAGTCACACTCAATGTCACCAAGGACTTGGTCACAAGCTCGCTCTAAAGCGGCCGGCACATAGGCCAAAACTCCATGCAAAAAAACGCACCGTTTTATGAACAAAATCATGCAGAATTCACAATCAGAACTTGACAAATCCTCTACATCACAAACATTGTTTAAATCCATGTCTTAATCCATGATTCCTGGGCATTAATTAATGGAAATGATGAAAGTAAACAGTATTAATTTATTGTCCTTTCTAGTTTCTAGAAACTAAGTTTTGTAATTAGATAAGGATTTGCCTTAATCTAATGAAATAAGTGAGTGGAAACAGTCAAACCAGGCATTGCAGTTGTGTCTTGTTGTGATTGTTTTGGTCTAGCTGTTCACTTAATTGTCAATTTTCATTACTTAATTATTTGATTAATTTTTGGATGTTTCAATTGTGGGTTATCGTGATGTGAGAGATTCTTTAACAAGAAAATTTAACAAATGTACTGTATGTGCCATAACTGATACGAAACAATCTAGAGATGACTGAATGTAGAAAACAAAGATACGATAACCACTACCGAATTGTGTCAAGATTCGGATACTGTATAATATGAAATCCCTTTTAGGGTTTTCAATAATTCATTAATATAAAAATAGTCCAAATAATCCAAAATCTTCTGTTCTTAGGACAGAAGCAACCTTTAAATAGTTCTCCCTTAAAAACGTAATCCGAAAAAACAAAGGAAAGGAAAATTAAACAGTCATAAACAACATCAAAGCATTCAGAAACTCGCAAAAACAACCCTAAAAATCATAAAAATATCCAAAAACCATTCAAAACGACTCCAAAAGGCGAAAAACTGACGATCATCATAATTTAATATGAGTTTTGTTCGTTTGGCCATTTCGGAGTGCTTTGTCAAAAATCATTACCTTCGGACACCATCAACACTATTCGACCCATCGGGCTGCATCAATAACATTATGTTAATTAATTCAATGTTATTTGCCATTAACTAATTAATTTATAATTGATGATCGATTGAGGTATTTTTAGACTAAGTCAGGTTTTAGCAAATTATATATGCAAAATCATTTAGAAAATTAGAATTTTAATTCATATATAAACTCAACCCAATAAAAGAATTGCATTAGTGCATGTGTTTTGGTAAACCTAGCAAAACAGGTAATTACTCGCAGGTGGACCCGTACCCGTTAAAATAATATAGGGTACGAGTTTGAAAATTTGGACCCCTTTTTTTCGACCCGTACTTGGCTCTGGCCCTTTTTTTGCAGGTGGGCTAACCCCCAAGTGACTCTTTTTCTCTTTGGAGGAGGAGCCTTGGCTGATTTGCAGCGGATCTACAGTTGTCTGTTGAATTGAAATGAATTTGCAGGAGTTGATTGTGGATGTGTGATTGTAACAAATGAAAAAGTGCAGAAATTGTAAGCGTGTGATTGTAACAAATGAAAAAGTGCAGAAATTGTAAGCGTGTGATTGTAACAAGTGAAAATTATAGTGAACAATAACGGATACTCGCAGGTCCACCCAAACCAGTTTAGGGTAAGGGTCCAATATTTTTGACAAATTTAGAATCAGTTCTTTTGAACTCGTACCCGTTAGACTCGGCCCGCCCGTTTTGCCAGGTGTAGCCTACTAGGTTTTGGGATGTGACTATGAGTCGAGGGATACATATTAAATCTCTCTCTCAATATTTGACTATCCCTATTTGCCATTTAATGTTGGAATGCACAAAGTTTTACTTTCTCCAAAATTAATTGACATTTAATTGGTAAAAGAAAATCAAACACGTGATAAGGTCACATGATTCTGTTCTCTTTTCTAGTTAAAGAATGCAATTGTTTGTTAGAAAGTAGATGGTCCAGTTGCAACTTCAAGAACCATCGATTAAAAATATATATATATATATATGAAGAGTTTATATATATGTGGTTCAAAGAAAAAGCCTATACTATAAATAAAATATTGGCTGCCCCATTTGAGTATTTGAGTTTGTGGCTTCAAAAATTAGAGTTATTTATTTGGTTTTGTACTAATCATGCAAATACAAAGATGAATTTGAAATATTAGAATTAAATGAGAGTAATTCTAATGGTTTCAAATTATTAAAAACCCTCTAAAATTATTAAGAACCCCTCGAAATTATGAAAAACAGATGAGATTAAAAAAAAAAAAAAAAATTAATGCCTATAAAAGTATAAAATTATTCTTAATATGAGGTATTTAATAGTTTTCGAGAAAATTGTCAGAACGCTGAAAGACTTTTAAATGGGCACATGAAATTAATTAATAAAATGAGAAAAAAAAGATATTGGATAAGTCCTGTGGGGTGTGTCATTTATGGAAAGAGCTAATGGGTATTGTATTTGAGTTTGTGGCTTCAAAAATTAGAGTAAATTCTAGAGTTATTTATTTGGTTTTGTACTAATCATGCAAATACAAAGATGAATTTGAAAAATTAGAATTAAACAAGAGTAAATTCTAATGGTTTTAAATTATTAAAAACCTTCTAAAATTATTAAGAACCCCTCGAAATTATTAAAAACCGATATGAGATTATTAAAAGAAAAAATCCCTATAAAAGTATTATTGATACAGGGTATTTAATAGTTTCAGTAAATTGTTAAAACGTCGTGGGGTGTGTTATTTATATATAATAATTTTCCTTATTGCCACTGTCTACTTCTAAATAATTAATCAATGGAATTGAATTTAGGAGGATGGACAAGTTTACTTACATGAACTGAGGTAGGTGAAGACTGTGGCCTACTAATTTTAATTATTATTTCTTATTTATTTCTTATTGTGAATTAAAAAAAAAAAAAAATTGTTATAGCTATGAGGGGAGTGAATGAAATGAATGAGATAAAGTTGAAGATTCAAAATAGTTTTGAGGATTAAATGTGGAAGATGGAAAGAGCTAATGGGTGTTTGTACTTGATTTGGGACCAATAATTTAGTTTTGTCTCATCTATTCTCCTTCGTTTGTACTTTGTACTACTCACCAATTTACAGCCCCCTCTCTTAGGTGAGACTCAAATTCAGATTCAGAATTTATTTATGGACACTTTTCTTAGAACAGTTTCCGTCCCGTACCCTAAACCCTAAACAATTTCGAGGTCCTTTTAGAATATTTTCTTCGAATAGAGCTTATTAGATCTTATTAAACGAGCACAAATAGGTTTTCCCCGTCCCCCACGAACATACCATTTTTTTTTTTTTAATTTGAACTTCAATCCTCGCTAATAAGAATTAACTTATAATTGCTTTGAATTATATGAAGAGTGGTACTTTTGACAATATGAAAAATCCTGCAAACAACTGGGTTAGCTTAGGCAAAGTGTGGAAAGGATCCAGGACTGCTGGCTGTGCTGGACTTTGAATTAAAGACCAATCTACACAAAAATGTCCCATTTGGATGTAACCAGACCCCATCTGGTTCCCTTTCTGAATGTATTATTGCCAGAAATATACAGAAAGTACATAATAATACAGAAAATGTGCACTGGCAGCATCATAAAGGAGGAGCTACTGCCACTGCATAATGCTTCCCAGAATTAAATAAAGAGCCTTAACTTGTGCAACAGATGGCTTAAGTGAGTGAATGAGGAAGTACAGTGGGGTTTCGGATAAGTTCCTCTCCTAAATCCAGGTTATGGCCACTTTTTAATAACTGGTATGGTGCCATAGTGCCCATGTACCAAATCTATTAATGGCTTTAAAAGAAAACATACTAATATTTCACACACATTTTCTGGTACCCTCTACATACATTATAAGATTAATCATTAGATAGGTTTCCTGAAGATAATCTAATTGTTGATATCGATCTATACTTTAAAAGTTTACGGTAGCAAGACCATTCACACGGCGAAAAGAGAGTTAAGATTGTGAAGAATGAACTTAAAGACGATATTAACTCAAAATTTTTATACATATGGATCATCAAAATCAAATACAGAGATCCTAACTGAGGCATAGTTGAAGTACCACAGAAAAGGCGAGAAGCAGAGGAGTAACCAGCATGTTTGAGAGGGACAAAATACAAGAGTGGGACAAAATACAAGAAACCTAGAGGCGATCATCGTATAAATAATAAAATAATTTTTTTTCTTTTTTTCTACCGAGTAATTTACAAAGAACAGCATTACAGATCCCTTCTGCATAATGGGCATGAAGCATGATTGAGGAGCCACTTATCTATGCAAGGTAGGTGAAACATGTGATGGCAATGAGGCAAACTTCTAACCGTCTCTCCAAGCTGAAAATCCTGCACAAACAAAATGAAATCGTTTCAGTTGGATAGTATATTCACAGCTGATTGGAATCCTAATAATCAACTTGAAAATAATGGCCAAACCTGAAGGCAAACTGAGCAAGAGACTTTTTCCCCAGAATCGTCTACATTGTTGTCAGTACCAATTGTGATCTTTGGAATCTTGTTAACAGATTCTCCAGTTAATCCTTTTGAGCAGCCGGTGTCAAAGATGTTAGGCATGTCCTCAAAGTTTACTTCAACAGCTCCCATCTGATACACAACAAATTGAAACCATTTACGGATTATAGTGGATCCAGGGAAGCCTAATAATATATCATCAGACTGTAAATTTTGTTGCATAATACCTGACTCTGAACAGCACTGAGCATGGCTGGACCAATTCTTTCGCGCACAAGTCTCCCACTCAGAAGGCTTGCAAGAACATCAATCTGTGCAGTTTGTAACAATGATAAATTGGTTAAATGATATCAATTATAACAGACTT